CGGCTTGTATGCTTATCTGTTGAAATATAGATATAGCTTGTATGCTTATCTGTTGAGATGTTGATACAACTAATATGTTTATCTATTGAGAAATGGGAAATGTTTAATATGAGTTACTGTCTCATAGAAATGGTTGGCTAGGTTCTGAGCCATTGATATAATTTGCGAAACTGTTAAGAAATGGAAAGTAGAATGAAACATAGTCGCAGTGATTATGAGATGGAAATGGGTTATGAATTGATTTGTGGAAATTGAACATTTATCAATTGCTAATGTCTTAGTTATTGCTCATACTGTGTTTAGCATATTTCTACTGGGCTGTGGCTCCCCCTTTATGGGACATCATTTTCAGGAACATGTAGCATGCCACCTCCAAGGACATAGCTTGGGAGGCTAGAGGCAGACAGACTGTTTTGTTATTTGTTTTCTTTAGATGTATTACATGTAAATTCAAGCCTAGGGCATAATATGTATTGAGTTAGCATTCTTCTTTTTGTAACCAAGTGTTAACTTGGAAAGCTGCAAGCCCGTAGGGCATTTGCTTTTGTTGTTAACATGTAATACTTTTGTAAAGCACTACTCTGATGAATAGAAGAATATTTATCTTTTATACCAATGCATGTCTAAGTTGATGGGTTTTAATGTTATTACTTTGAGGGCGTTACATATTCTATAAGGGTGGAGATACTAACTCTCATAAGTGCTAATCCAACTATTAACAAATGACTTTCAAATATAAAAAGAGGCTTTTTATTCAGATTGGGCCTCTTCTTATAAGAAACTTTAGATCTTTTTAACTCAAGCGGACCTTTTTTTCTGGACCAGTACAATACTTACTATAGTTTTGGGGCCTTTTTTTGGGCATTTTTTGAGGACCCAAAGCAGCTACTTTGTGGTTCTAATTTTGTGAGTGTTTGAGAAATTATTATTTTAGTAGGTTATTTTAATTTTTGACTATTTGAGTAAGCTAAAATTTTTATATTTGGGAAGATAATTGATTTTTTTTGTAATTGAATGTAATGTTTGTAAAAGAAAAAGTAAAATAATTATGGATTTAATGTGATACTTTGTCTTATTAGCTATTTTAACTTATTTTGTGAATTTTAACCCAAAAAAAAGGACCATGCAATTGCTATTTTAGCTATTCCAACCTTGCCAAACACCCCCTTTATATGGACACAGTGTGAACCATGCAATTGCTTCACCCAAAAGACCAAAAGTTATGACTCAAGATTTCCACAACCTATGCAACACTTTCCTATGCGTTGTAGTAGTCCTTCCCTTAGCTATGGCTCAGGTGGCGGTGGTTCAGGGGCAACTAAGGGCATTGCCGCCCGGGAAACATTTGGATTGCCACTTAGGAAAGTTACCCACAAACACTTATCCAAGATGATTTTTGGTTGTTCAAATAACAACAAAGGCTTCGCTTTTTATAGCAACAAAGACAACGCGATTTCAGGGTTACTAGGGTTGGCGAAAGGTCAAGGCTCTTTAATAAACCAACTGAATCACACGGTCAATGGACATAGCTACTTAAGGTTTGCACGATGAACGTAGCTACTTAAGGTTTGGTTTTTGTCCAAAGAGGACAAGATGTCAAAACAATCCCATTCATGAATCCAAGATCACCCTTTACAAACTAAATTTGATAGACATTAGTGTCGACGAGTGACGCCTAGTGTTCCCAAGAGGTACCTTCTCTTTAAAAAAATGTTGGTTGCATCATAGACTCCGGAGTTCCTGTCAGCGCCATTAAAGGAAAAGCTTATGATAAGGCGATTCGTGCATTTGCATATTACCATGCAGGTAAACTTGAAAGAACATATGGTGAAAACAATCAGCTTGATCTTTGGTATAAATACGATGAAACCTTTCAAGAGTATCCAAGCATTACTTTCCATTTTCAAGGGGGTGATTTTGTGGTCGATTCAAGATTCATGTATTTGTCTTTCTATGAAGCAAGGCATGTTTGTGTGGCAATGGTACCTAGCTATAATATAACCATGTTAGGAGCATTGCAGCGATGGGATATGAGAATCGTATATGATATCGATGCAAATTCATTAGAGTTTGGCCGACAGAGTGTTCAAATGACGGGGGATGACGAGATATCTTTCTTCTACAAAGACAATACTAACTACAGAACCGACTACAGAAAATACAAGTGGAGCAGAGTGAGTGAAGAATCCTTTTCAATGTGCTCTATCTTCATTAAGTGCTGCTGCTGACAACGGATCTCATTTCTAATGCTAAGTAAAACACTAACATCTCGTCACACAAATGGAATGATTGTGAGAATATAGTGTATCTATAAGACACAATAATATTCTCACAATGATATGTATGCATTCAAGTTGAGAGAATGCTCTATTCATACGACCAACTACAAGCCCAAGAACTAATTGCCCGCTATGTGATTGCAGAAAATGTTTCAAAAGAGCAAAAACAAATGGTTCCTGTGAGTTTGATATCAACAAACCTACAGCAAAAGGTCAAGCCGACTTAAATGGCATAAAGGTGAACCAGACTTGGTTAAAGATTTTTAAAGAGAATGATATACACGATCTACATCCGGTCCCTTACACACAAGTGCTACGTTGGTTCCAGTTTTTCAGCTGTCCTGGATCAAGTTTGTAGGCTCACTCAAAACATATTTTGGTATTTCATATTTTGCACCTGTAACAAGAATTTTTAGGTTAGGGATACAAAACTTTTTGAGTACAAGATGCCACAAGTTTAGCCCAAAAGCATCGTAATGTTCCCTATTTATTATTGAAGTCTTGAATCTAGGGTAAACTGAGTGAATATTTAACAAAAATAAAGAAAAATAAGAAGTTACATGGAAAATGATTTGAGTACCTCTTTCATCATAGCATACTGTCAAATCGGCACTTTGAACAATGATCCCTGCACTGTCCACAATTGCTTGCGCGAGTGTTAGATCAGCATCAACAGCGGCATGAAGTGCATCCCAAATTTCTAGTGTCAAGAAAAATGGTAATTATACATCAGATGTGTGCAACCAAATGTAATATTGGGAATAGAAAATACATCAATCTATATTCTGCTTATCTTGTGCTTGCATGGTGTGTATTGCATGGAAAACGGATTTTTTCCTTAAGGTCAATAAGACAACAAGGGGACTTAAACCCTAGAATAAAAAGCGCCAAACATGGACTGCTTTGCCAGATTACAGAGTCGCCACCTAAATATTTATTTTGGAGAAATTTAGGAAACCCTGACTCGTGCCAAAGGCCACGTGTCCGTCATCACCAAAGTTGCCTCGGCTCGGGAACTTGGGTGCGAGAGGGAAAGGTCCTGAAATGAGCACCCCCGCTCACCCGATCAAAAGGTCGGCCTCTACTAACATGATATGTTGTTTTTATAAACACATGTGTTCTTAGTCCGGTTATTTAGCTAACTTTACTATGTGACACACACAAGTATAGACTAAAATCACAAGAATTGGAACAAATTCAACTCATATTTGTTTTCGAAAATGGTTTGAAGGTGCCACTCGCAATTGGGCTAAAGCGCGGATTTGCCACCCTCAAATGGGCTTAAAACATGATGTTTTGCAACTTCGCAAAGTGGGCTTACAACTCACAATCATCGAATTGTCCCAATTCAACCAATAAAGCCTTCATCCACAGGCACTCATGCAACTAATCACTTAAGCAAATAGCCACATGGAAAGCGTAAAACTTACAGTGTACTCCAAGCCAGGAAAGAAACAAAGTTAGAAAAAATGCATGATTCCTAACTATGTTAAATGACTAATGCAACACATGCAATGATGCGACTAAATAGGCTCGGCTATCTAAGATGGCATATGAATGCAACAATTTGATAACATGTTTTTAAACACGTATTCAAATAAGTGTATTGAATTTGACAATGCAGTTTGAATGATGCGCGGAGCCTCGGTGCATGCAAGACAAATGAATGATGCAAACATGCAAAGCATAAGGTATGCTAATTCAAAAATGACCCTAAACTAACCATCGAAAGAAGTTAAGTAAAAGGGAGAATGACGTGTGGTTAGAAGACATGCACACACGCACACACACTTATTACAACATACGCTCTCGCAAAGGAGGGTTCGAATAAATAAGCTAAGCTAATCTAAGCTAATCTAATTAAACTAATTAGACTAATTATTACAAAACAACTAATTAACTATGCTAAGCTAATTAATTATTACAACACAATTGAATTTGAATAACTAGTTACATAAACTAATTAAAATATTACAACACTTGAATAATTAGCTATACTAACTAATTAAAGCAATAAAGCGGAGCAAGTAACGGCCTTGGAGGCAAAGGAGACATGCATGCTGGGTTGCGTCCTCCCAAAAATCCATCGCTTTGCCAAATGTTGCCTCTGTTTACACTCGCCTTGATCTCTGAACATTGAACCAATCTTCCAGACTGCCTCTGCCTCAAAACATAAACACTTTGGCACAAAACTGGACTAGTGGCCGGTCGGCCACAAAAAGTGGCTGCCGGCCACCTCAATTGGCCGGCCCCCTAGTGAAAGTGGTCGGTCGGCTACATCAAGTGGCCGGTCAGCCACCTGCTTTTCCAAACTTCTATTTTTGCTGCAACAGAGAACAACAGAGGCACAACAATGTATTTGCATGGAAATGTGTGTACTACCACCCTCCTTATCATGTCTCAAGCTCAAAGGAGTGTGACACTTGGCTCTCAAGCCACCAATTAAGTATTTTCATGCATGATGGCCAAAAAACTAAGTTTGTACAAGCTTAATGAATGCACATATAAGACTCAAATGGCTATCACCCTATCATGCATGATCAAGGGTGACGGCGACCAAGAAATGTGATACGTTTCATCACTTGGAGTATGAAACGTCTCACATTTCTTGTGTTTGGATTGACGTCCAATCCAAACACATGCAATGCAATACACATGTTTATCTTGCTCAAGTTTTACTTATCCAATTCTTGTTTACACATTTTACATTTCCAAGCCATTCTTTAACCGGTTAAGTCCAATGTGATTGTCCTCTAATGGGAGAGGGGTCAACCAAAGGATGGTTTAAGATATGAGAGAGATCATGCCTTTGACTAGTAGAAACCCTCAAAAGAGGATTAAAGCCATTGAGCACAAGCTCTATCTCCAGCTTAAACACAATCATAAAGCTAACCAACTCCCAAAACAAATGGAAAAATGAAGAAATTAGGGAGGTTGTAGATTTTCAGTGCTGAAATGGCATGAAAAAAAGTGCTACAACATGCAAGCAACACATGCACAACATATTATAGGCCAAAAGCATTGAAACTAGTGAAGGATACAACACTAGAGGCATGCAATACAATGCTAAAAAAGGACCAACAGTCCTAAAACACCCTAATAGAGTTCTAAAACATGCTTGAAATAAGCTAAGAATAATTATATTAAGAGGCCAAAACAATAGCACATGCTAGGCAATTTAGCACAATTTCACTACAAGCATATAAAACAAAGCTCATGTGATCAAACCAGCTCAAAACAGAGCTTAATCATGCCAAATCAGTGACCTAAACATGCTGAAACTTAGGCACAAGAGGCAAGAAAAACATGCTCGCATGTTGGCTCACAAACAAGACACAAAGCACAACTCTCAAAAGCAATGAAAGAGTGGGATATGTGAGAGTGTGATAGTAATATATGCTCCGAAATTACATGCAAAATGATGCTATATCATGCAAACATCACAAACAAAGCATGCTAGAGACCCTAAAACTTAAAGCTAGTAAAGGCCATTTACACTATAGCTATACAAAGCAAAGCACATATGACCAAGACCACCCAAAATAGAGCTAAAGCATGCTAAATCAGTAGCAAAAATGTGCTGGAGTTGAGCTAACAAAAGCTATAATAATAGGCTAACTCATTAGGCATGTTAGGCTAGTGAGCAAAATTACACTACAAGTGTAAGAAGCAAACAAGAGGTGCTCCAACCAGCCAAAAACAGAGTTATAACATGTTAAAATAAGGCCAAAAATACACTAAGATCAAGCCATGAGATGGTATAAAAACATGCTCACATGTTGGGCCATCAACACATGCAAATAAGATACAAGGAGGGGAGGCCACCCCCTCCTATTTTGGACCTCAAAACCAACTATTTGCCACTGAAATTCCCCTTGAATTCAGTGGTTAAAAGGCTAAGAAAAGGTTGTTTCAAAAGCTTTGAAAGATGGCTCAAAAGGCTTTACAAGCCAAACAGCAAAGGAGGGGAAACCACCCCCTAACCTAACAAGCCTGAAACCACCATTTTAAAACCTTGAAAATAGAGTTTTTTAGAGGTTAAAACCAGCTTCAAAGTAGCATGCAAAGGTGGCCAAACAATGAATTAAAACAAGGCTTAAAAGAGTTAAGTTCTTACCCTTGACGCACAACAACAAAATAGCAACTTTCTGAACCAAAACCAAGCCTTTAACAGCCCAAAATAGGTTCCAATGGACCTCAGCCCAAAGATATGCAACTTTGATAAAGGATGTCTAGGCAAATAAGAAGTGTATCTCTACTTCTATGCACACTCTCTTCTTGTATGCACAAAAGGGCAAGAGAGGGAGAACTCTAGAGAGAGAGAAATGTAGAGAGAGGGGATTTTTTAGAGAGAGAAGCTCCCAAAATTGCTAACCCTTCAATATGAGAGAATGGCCTCCATATATAGCAAAAATACAAGCCTTGGTCGAAATATCTGCAAAATAGACAGCTGGAGCTTGTGGGAGATAGCTGGAGGTAAATATCTACAAAATATCTGAGTTTTAAACACAAGTGGTCAACCGACCACCTTTAGAAGCCAACCAGCCACTCTGTCGGCCGCTTTTCTGGCCGACCGGCCATAAAAATTTACTTTTCAGGCCCGACTTCAAATGGGCATAACTCCTTTATCTAGACTCTTTTTCATGTCATTATTGTGTCTAAATTGAAGCCCCGGAAGTAAATTTTCCAACGGTGGCATCCTCACATCAAAATTCCAAGTGTGAAAAAAGTTATGCTCATTTTAGTGAAGAGTGCTCAGTTTCGGTCCTAATCGGATTGATGCCCAACTTCAACCAACCATATCTCCCCCATCCAGACTTGGCTTTAGGAGATTCTTGAGTGCAGAATGAAGCCCCAGAAATCTTGTTTCCAATGATGGTGGCCTCATAGCTGAAATCCAAGTGTACAAATGGATAGGCCCGATTTAGCGAGGGTTGCTCGACTTTCTCTTAACAATTCATGCCCATCTTCTTCCCCAACGTGGTTTCTTCCCTCCTCTCCTCTTTTCTTCAACCCCAAACCCCTAAATAAGGTGTTTTGAAAGATTTTTCCAGAGATTTCATCTCTCTTTCATTAATTTCCACTTTGTCCTTGCTCAGTTTACCGAAAAGCGCAACATTTAACGAAATGAGAGCCTCGGAACATCGTAGGAACCTTTTCAAAAATATTTTGAAAGAGAGGGTTTTAAGATCTAAAATCTTTGGTCAAAATAGTTTTAGTTCAAAAATGGGGTGTAAGGTTAGGATTTGACTCTCTTCTTGTCAAAGAAATCGAACCATTGCATAGCATAGCCTGCACCATCAAGTAAGCAATCAGTGGCGCCCAAGTCTTAAGGGCGGTCAAAAATGGGGTGGCTACAATAACATTGATGAGAGCTTTTTATTCACATTCATTGTTGGTGGTAGAGAAGCCTATCCGTGTAAAGAATTCTATTGCCTCTTTGTTGGGTGTGACTAGCACAAACCTTATTCATGTGCCTTTGATGTTCGGGGCCCCATCGTAGCGCAATTTCCATGCTACATCAGTTGAAGGTGTTTTCCCTACGTCTCTGCCTTTCTTTGGGGAAAATTATGCTATGAAGTCTGCCAGTATCGGTGCCTTAATTGCATTCCTTAGTTTGAACTAAATATCGTTTTGCTCGAGCTCAACAGCCCATTTGGAAATAAGACTTGACAAATCTGGCTTATGTAATATTCTCTTAAGTGGAAACTCCAAGTAAACACCAATGGGATGGGCCAAGAAATAACGGCACATATTTCTAGATAAAACAACTAGTGCCAGAAGGAGTTTTTCTAACGACAAATATTTGGTTTCTGTATCAAGTAATGTTTTACTTATGTAGAAGACCGGTGTT